GAGAGAGAGAGAGAGAGAGAGAGAGAGAGAGAGAGAGAGAGAGAGAGGACATGAAATTGGGTGGGGAGTCAGAGTCATGGTTGGAGGATCTGGGAGGAGTTGGAAAAAGTGAAACATATATACATACACACACACACACACACACACACACACACACACATCTTTTTTAAGTTTAAAAAAGTTAAAGGTACAACCAACTCAGCTCCGTTAAAGAACAGAAAGGCTCAGAGGACGTATATCTGTGGAAATGGCATACATAGAATTAGAAGTGGAGTAGAAGCTGGGCTCTGGCATCTGTATGCTCCTATACAGCCTAGCTTTTACCCAGTGGTCCACCTGTAGTTCCATGCATGCTGTGTCCAGCTTCTACTCCTGATGCAGCAGAAGTTAACAAAATGGTTTCCAGAGGGGAGTAAGTGGGCAGTCTTTTTGTCTTTTGGCTAGATTCAGAATCTCCAAAAAAACAGCACTTTGGGTGTGTACCAGTGTGTATTTTCAAAGAGGACCCACTAGGGAAAGGAGCTTCACCTTTCCACGACCTGGGCTTCCAGATTACATGAGAAGATGAAAGTGGCCAGTAGGCCGGCACTCGGCACTCAACACTCATCTTGCTCTGCACCCTGGCTGTGGACGCAGTATGAGCTTCAGCCTCACACTCCTGCTGCCATGCTTTCTCAGTGGAAGACACAGTCTCCAGCCCTGAGCCCAAATAAACCTCTGTTCCTTAATGCTGCTTCTCCTTGGTGTTTCATTGCTGCAGTGAGAAAAGTCAGTAAGCCAGGAAGATACGATGTCAGATTCACAGTTTTAATAATAGCTGGCACTTTTATGTGAAGAGTGGAAAAGGAAGGGGAGACAGGCCAAGGACAGCATTAGGGGCTTACTGTCCTGAGGCACACAGCCTGGTGGGGATTATACAGATGCCTCCTCGAAGTGATGCACAGTGGAGGGGTTTAGAGGAGAGCTGCCAGAGTCTGTTGACAGGAGAGAAAACGACGATTTCTGCATTTTCAGGTTAGTAAATTGTGCCATCCCCCCCCCCCCCAAAAAAAAAGGGAAAGAAAACAACAGATTTGCAGGTAGGAAACCACGAGTTCTATTTTGTTGGAATTAAGCTGGGATTTCTGATAGAAATACAAGGATGTTGCTCACTTTGGCTGTAGGATGTGGGAGTTTAGAGTCTAATCGAGAGATCAGGACTAAAGGCATAGAAGTGTCATTGAAACCCATGTAATTAAGTTAAAACATCTGAAGGGAATATCTTCAAGCTAGAAGAGGGGAAAGGCAAAGAGGAGGACTTTGTGCTCAGACTTTATAAAGTTTCACCAAAGAGAAAGGACCAGCAAAAAAGGTTGGTAAGGGAGATCAGTTTGACAGAGGGAACAAAACAAACAACAACAAATCACAAATAAAACAAGACTATATGCTCATTGGAGAAGAAAGTGATTGACTTTGCATAGGGATGTTTGAGATAAGGAGGAGGCAGAGAAACACAGTTTTGGTGGAGAGGTTAAGAAGTTGTCTGTAAATAAGTAATCAGTGTCTTTCCCATTAGCAATTCAGCTATTTCAGATACAGGCATTCAATAACCCCTTAAAACTACTGCTTTATTAACCGATTGGTAGCAAAAAGTTGGGAAGAGGGGCTTCCCTTCAGACTCTATGCCACCATTATCTCTTCAGGGTATGAAACTATCTGAAACTCCTGTCTCAACATCATGATGTTTCAATGTTCCTGAG